CCTCATCGTCATCATGTCCTGTTCATAGTTTCCACCCCGCATTGTAGTCCCACGCGCCAGTCACGCGTTCCACCACCCACGCCATTCAACAGCCCCTATCAACAACATTAGCTCGCGTCGTCAATAGGTCGGGGGTAGTGGTTGTCTTGTGGTCTTGCCCAGCCCCCTGACAAGATGAAAGCTGCCCAGTTTGCCTCCCTCACGCCCTCGCCCTCGATAAAGTTGCTGCGCCGGCCGTTGTGGCCGCGAGCCATTCCAATCCAGGAGCTGCATTGTGGCGAGCAGTGTAGCAGGCCAGACCGAATCACAGCTGTAACCAAATGAATTGCGCACAGGATCCACCCACTGCGAATATGCTCTGTAACTAATCGCCGTGCTTCCTATCGAACACGCACGCGCGATATCCCCGACGTGCAACGCAAGCGGCAATGTCAGCATAACCTGCAAACAATTCTGCAAAGGCAACGGCGCGAGCGATAGCAAGCGCCATCCCCAGCACCTCACGAAATAATTCGTTGTAGGCCGATGGCTTGACATCAGGGCTCGCAAAATTGCACACGCGGCCACGTTCAGCATAGAACTCAGCGCGGCATCGGGCCCAACGACGGGCCTCCTCAAACACTGGATGCTCAGGATGAGCAGCAATGCAGCACGCGGGCCTCTTGGAGGTCTTCTCACCTGCCCCGACCAGACGCGCCAGCAATGCCAATGCTAGTAGCGACGCACCAGCGCGAACCATTTCCCCCCCTGGTATATACAGAATCAGGTTCAACTGGGATTGCAGATCTATGAATGTGTGGATCCTTTGTAAAACGTAAGTATACGAGCGAAGCGCGCAATGTTCCTCACTGGCAGATTCAATGTTTCGTCAATGAAACAGTTGTCCATTTTCAGGGAACCGTGATCTTGGATCCTGGCCCAAAGAGTGATGCCGCGCACCCGTTTGCCACCCGCGCTGCCTCCGCCCCCGCTACGCCGAGAGATAGGTGTAGCAGGTTAACTGCGTCTGGTCGATGGCGCGGGACCCAGTGCCAGAGGGCGGAGGCGGCGCGACTGGCGAATGGGTGCGAGGCGCCACGCAACCCGTTACCACCTTGGGGGCCGAGATTTGGAATGAGAACTGCCTCAAGCTAGGGGGCGACTACTATGTAGGAGCAACTGTACGTGTGAGAGATGTTGCGGTTTGTTTGATCCAGCTTTACGCAGTCCACAATACGAGAGCTCGCCTGTCGGTCATATGGACACACAGATGATGTTTCGGAGCGAGGTCGATGCCCGTCAGCTCGCAACAACGCAGGTGCACGCACATGCACGCCATAAGCTCAGCACACACATCATCGCCCACTATGCACGGATTCTGTCGCACAAGATCCAAGTATCGAATGAGGGAACGCCCTGCATGCATCAACGGCTCACCAGCTTTAGCAGACCCGCCTGACGTCTCGAGCGCATGCACCGCGAGCTCTAGGATAATGCCAGTCTCGGCAGCTTTGAAACTCATCGTGCGCCCTGGATGCTTGTATAGATTGTGCACTTTCTTAGTGGCTGTCTGCCCCATAGACTTGAACGCAAAATATCGATGTTTCTAATGCTACCATGGCGCATGTATTTCGCCGCGAACAAGTCATCCATGTCTGCCGACAGCCGCCGACACCCTATCTCGAGTCGTTGCTGGGGGCTCCCTCGGCAGTCCTCAGGGTTCGAATTCCATGCTCTCCAGTGGCTGGCCGGAGCGAACTTTTGCACTGGGCCGCAGTAAAGGGCGTGGAGGCGATCGATAGCAAGGGCCCTTGCTGGAGATGAGTCCAAGGACCCGTCAAACAGCGGACACCTTGACAAGACGGATCAATTGCTCGTTGGGATGGCGGAGGAGAAAGGGCGATGGGCGAGAGGGTGATGATGCGGAGGAATAGTGGGCGGGCGAGCACGGTCGGGGGTCGGGTTGCCAGGAGCCCAGGAGCATCTGTTGAATTGCATCGGCCCCCCCTAAATGCCCCACATGTGTTAATCCGCGTCCATGGCCCGATCTCCACACCCCATTCCTGGCGGGATCCCCGTCTGGCCCTCTCCCGCGACCCGCGCGCGACCGCATCCCCGTCTGGACCTCCAGAATACAACTTTTAGCGGGAGGGCGGCACGCGGGAATGTGAGGATGTCCACCAGGGGGGGCGACGGGTCGAGTCGGTCCCCAATCTTGAGTTGCACCCTCCCCGACGACCAGGTCCGATATTAGAATGGGCCCCCTCCTGCCAGGCTCAGGGGCCCGATCGATGCAACCGGCGACGCGCTTCCGATCGAGGTGGGTTGTGAACTTCGCAAACAGCGCAGGAACGTCCGTAGTCATCGCGTTGTCGCAATGGGAACGTCGGGGTGTCGGGATCGCATGCCATGCGCCCATTCATTGAGTGAAACTCGTCGTTCACCAAACAGCAGCACTAACACGGTTTGCAGCGGCTGGCCCGCGACGACAGCCCCAAGGTCTTACTGTGTTCTGACCAGTCACCATTCTTCCAGAGTAGCACGCACGTTCTGGCCATGGCCCGCTCGTCTCCAAGAGGGTCAGAATCACCCCACTCCGCCCCGTCGTGCCGACGTTCGGGGAATCGCCCCATTCCGAGCGCCAAAAACATCCATTGCCCCAGATGCCATTGAACCCCATGGCACGAGGCACCACCGATCCCTGACCTGGTCCGACCCCGTGCGCAGCACGCTGCATCTTGCCAACAAGTCGAGTCGAGCCCAGCGCGTGGCGAGCTGCACGGTCACCAGTCAAACACATTACATCCCCACACCCACACATCACACACGCCGTGGGATTCGCGGCACTAAGGCGCGCGCAGCGCACAGAGCACAGGATGCAACGCGCACCAATGTTCGCACCCACGGCGGCATCCATCGCGATCTTTGACCCCTCCCAGCAGGTGCCGTTTCGACGTCACTAAGTTTATTGCCCAGAACCCGATGACGGAGTCTTGCCTACCAGAAGCCCCGTTTTGACACGAAATACAATCGATATACAGCCCAACGGGTAGGGGTAGAGGCTCTTGGGCGTCCCTGGCTCGGACAACAGCTGGGTGGAAGCGATATGCCATTGTTTCAAGCGCGCGCTTGGCGCGATCCTCATCTGCTCCGTCCAAAATGGTCAAACACTGGCTGTTCGACCCCAGCTCGGCGTCAATGGACTCAAACGCCGTTCTGAATTGGATCGACGGTGGCTTCCTAGATGCAATCGCGTTCCTATTCCCAGGAGTAACTATAGTGTACAGCGGCGCGGGCTGGGGTCATACTTTATCTAGGTTGGTCTGGTGCTTGCCAGCCTGCTGGCCTGGGCTCTGCCCGTGCACGGCGGAACCACTCCCTGGCGAACCTGTTCGGTCGAGGTGCCAGCACAGGATCGCGAAGTCCTGCGCCGAAATCTTACACTGAGCATACAGGCCTAACAATAATTTGAGGGCCTCTGCCCCCTGCGCGCGCACAGCATGCTCAGTACGTCGCCATGCTCGTCTGGCCCGACTCCTCGATCTCGGCATGGCGAGCCCGAGGGGCAAGAGGGGCATTGCGCGCGCTCGCGCAATCGGGTTTGACGTGGGCGGCTGCGGGGCCCCACAGGTTCGAAGCAAAGGTTTTAAAGCTGGCGGTTTAGAGCGATGTCTAGGATGCAGAGCCATTGTCGATCCGATCGAATCAAACGCGCGGGCCGAATGGTCAACGCCAGCCCATCCTGATTCATCCCAGACGCAAGCGAGATATCACGCACCAGGACAAGTGCCCCAACAGCCCTCGCAGGGCAAACTCACACTGCGACCGCAGTGCGCAGAGACAAAAAAAAACGCAGACAGTGCAAGCAGCTTCGGCGCGGGCATTGCAGCCGCTGGGACCGAAGAGAAAGGGCGGACGGTTGGGGCGGAAGAGGTGGGTCACGAGGACGAGGCGGAGGCAGAGTAAGGAGCGGGGGTGTGGAGAGGGAGGAGGACGAGGAGGAAGAGGCGGACAATGAGACGGAGAAGGAGGAGATGGATGAGGAGGAAGGAGAGTGACAGACCACAGATAGCAAGGAGGAAGATGAGGAGGAAGACGAGGACGATGATGAGGAGGAGGCGAAGATGAAGGCGAAGGCGGAGGAGGGAAGGAAGAAGGGCAGGAGAGGAGCAAGAAATGCAGTCTGACAGCGCGGCGAGGCTTCAAACTGCAATCGCATGATGCACATCCAATGCTTACAACCAGGACTCACTCGTTTCTGGAAAGGCTAGGGGCTGCGCGAGCCTTGCGATCGTTTCTGGAGGGGTCGAGGTGGCTGGCTGAGACGCCAGCCCCGCCCCCCCCCCCCAAAAAAAAAAAAAAACGCGTTGCAGCGAGAGCTGCAGGAATCACGTGATAGATTACCTGGCGTACCAGGTAGGAGGATATCGAGGGCGATATACGATGGCTGATGCCTGATATCCGCGACCCCAAGCTAGCGCGCTCAAGGTCGAGGTGATCGCTGCGGGGTTTCCCACCGAACAATGAAAACCCATGATTTCTGTAGCTGCTGATCACTTACCAGGTATCAACGAACCTTCAACGGCTCGTCAACGGCCCATGGGGCATCAACGGATCGGGGCTTCAACGCCAAAACGCGCGGACGCATCGGGCCATTCGGTCGTTTCTACACACCTTCCACGCACCTTCAACACCCAAGTGTCGACGGACCTTCAACGCAATGACTCCCCGAAGATAACCGACCCCACACGTTTTTTTTGTTTGTTTCTCCCGCCCGGGCGTGACTTTCACCGATTCGCCTAGATTCCGCGTGATATTTCGCATCCAGATCATTTTTCGGTTTTCAACCTGCCCGACCTGGATCGACGCGCATTCGAATTGAATCCAGCCGCGGTTACGAGAGCACACCTTCCACTCGACATTCCCCCCGCGCAACGATCACCATCGACTTTTTTAGCTGCGCGCCCCTCGCTAGTCGCTGTCGCCCAGGTTGGCCCTCGCGTCGCGGCCCCCAAGGGAGCCTTGTTCTGGCGGCGCAGCTTCTCATCGGGCTGGGCGAGATTCACGGAGCCAATGAGGGCGGCCTTCATCGCGCCCTCGCCCACTGCCTTCCTGACCTCGGCCATGTCTCGGGAGAGGAGGTCTCTGAGGTTCGGGATCTTGTCGATCTCATCCAGGACGCGCTTGCGGGCCTGGAATGGCAACAGAAGTTTGGAAAGCCAGCATCCTCCCCATCATTCAGGTTGGCGCCCTCTTCCTCGCCCTCACCCCCCTCACTCCTCCTGCTATCAATTATCATCGATATCCAAACTTGCGCGCTTCCTTCAAGCATCCTCCTAGCCCTCATATCCCCCCTGATCCTCGCCCCGCCACCCCTCGCACAGGGGGGCGATGGGGGGAGGGGGGAATCAGGAAGATGAGAACGAGGAGGATAAGGAGGAAGAGTAGGACGATGGGTGGAAGGTGATATGAGGAAAGGAGGAATAGATAGACTAGAGAGGAGGGCGGTGGCGTGGATGAGAGGAAGACGCGTGCGGTAAGATATTGAGGCCCCACGCGTCCTGCTTCATATCCTTGGCGCGGGACGGTCATCCTTCGCGAATTCCCAGGACTCGTCAAACTCGATGCTGGGCAAAATCGTGAAAGCCTGCACCATCGCGGACTTGTGCAGGGCGATGTTGTCTTTGGCTGGCTTCATGTACTCGGGCAGCGGGTTCGTCTTTTTCTCATTCTTCTCAGGTGGCCCTCCAGCTTCGTCGGCGCCCCTCTTGTTGTTGGCCTCCTTCTTGGCGCTGGCCGCCGCGGAAGTGGGTCCTGAGCCCGCGGAGGTCGCGGCAGCTGCAGCCTGGTCAGATGCGGGCGCTTCGATGTCTGCCTTGATCTTCTTCGCTTCGGGGCCATCTGCCGCCGCCGCCGCGCTGCCCGATCCAGTCGCCGTCGCCGTCGACGCAGCGCGGGCCCACTGCTGGCGGCGGCCCCGCGCCTCCGAGAAGTGCTCGGTGTAGGTCTGGATCGCGTGGAGCGCCTTGAGGTTCTCCGTGGACCCATCCTACAGGATGAACGGACCTCCCATGGCGATGCGCTTCGCGCAATGCTTCACCGCGGCGGCCCAACCAATTTTGCCGCCGCCCTCCTTCCAGGCTACGCGGGCCAATGGAAGGCATTGGCCCCTCTTCCCCCACTCCTTCCGCATGGTCGTGGTGAGCTCCTTCGTCTCCTTGAACGACGCGCGCCCCCCCTTGGCCCACTCCGCCCTGAACTGCCCCAGCTTCGCACAGAGCCTCCTGCCCTTGAGCCCGACGCCGCGCTCGGAGCACCGCTTGACCAGGCCCTCGTTATTGGCCAGCTCGCGTCGCCACCTCCCTGCCGCTGGGTTGCCCGCGGCGCCTCCGGCCCTGAACTTGTACGCGTCATGCGCGAAGGCCCCCCAGAACTCCTTCTCGCGCTTGTCCTTCTCGCTCGTCGGCCCCTGCGCACTGGCGTCGGCGAAGCCGGTGTTCGCGCCGGCCCATGAGCTCCTTGAGCTCCCTGGGGGCATTGTCCTCGTCTGGCTCTGAGCTGCCCGCCATGCCGCTGATCTCATCGGCCTTGATGTTGAAGTCGCCTGGGGGGCCCCTGGGGCTGAGGTTGCATGACTTGGCCTCGTCCTTCTCCTCATCCTCCTCCTCCTCCACCCCCATCCGCCTCTTCCCCCTCGCCCCCCCTCCTCGTCTGCCACGGGGAAGGCATGCGACGCGTTCGCGGGGGCTGGACGTCGGGGGTTAACAAAATGGAGAGGAGGGGTCCAGACAAGAGGAGGTGCAAGACCAATACGCTCCCCCATCACGTTCGGATGTCGATTTCGGACAACGCCGATGTCCTCTTCTCACTCTTCGTCGGCGTCTCGAGGGGCCTGCCGGCGGCGGCGGGGGCGGAATCGGGGAGACGACGGAGAACGCGCACAGGGCCGCACCGCCTGCCGCCGCCGCCGCGCAGCTCGGCCTGCGCGATGATGCTGCCGCCGCCCGCGCGACCTCCTCGTCCGCTGCATCGGTCTCGGGCGCGGGCTCGCGCTCGGTCTTCGCGCCGTCGGTGATCGAAATCTTGATCAGCGGCTTCAGGGGGTCGCCCCCATTGTCCTCGCGATCGAGAAGGAAGATGTGATAGCGATGCGGTGGATTGCGAGAAGGGCGGGCTGGAACGACATTGGCCGATTCGGGTCAACACTGTTCCGCGGAGGTTCGAGGAGGAGGAGGGCCAATATGCGGACGCGGGGGGGCGGCGCGAAGAGCGAGGAGGAGTGGGAGGGCGGGGGGGGGGGGGAGGTGATGGAGAAGTGGAACGAGAAGGGGGCCGGTGAGTACGATGAGACAGGTGTGTGTGGGGGGGGGGAGCACATCCTTCTCGTCGACGGTCTGATCGATGATCGCGTTCGCCCGCTCGAAGATCTGGAACGGCGTCGAGTCAGAGTCGATCGGCTCGCCATTGTCGATCAGCTCGCATTCGTCGATCAGCTCGCCCTTGTCGATCAGATCGCCCTTGTTGATCAGCTCGCCCCTGTCGACCAGCTCGCCCTTGTCGACCCGCTCGCCCTTGTTGACCAGCTCGCCCTTGGTGACCAGCTCGCCCGCGTTGACCAGCTCGCGCTTGTTGACCAGCTCGCCCGCGTTGATCAACTCGCCCGCGTTGACCAGCCCGCCCGCGTTGACCAGCTCGCCCGAGTCAATCAGCTCGGGCCCTTCTTCAGCGCGCCCCCAAAAGGCCGCTCCGTCCTTGCGATGGCCACGTCGGGCCCCGATGTCTGCATCCCCCACCTTCTCCTCCAAATCCTCCCCCGCCTCATCAGCACCAGCACCATCATCATCCTCATCGTCATCCTATGGCTCCTGTTTCACCTCGTCTTGCCCCTCGTGATCTTTCTCCTCGTTCCAGCCCCCCTCATCTCCGAACTCACTTTCGAGCTCCAACCTCCCCCTCGCCACCCCGCGGCCCACCCTAGAGCGCCCCCTCCGCGCGCCCCATCGACCCCAAGATGCGGGGCGACGGGGGGCGGAGCAGGGGCGGCGCCCGCGCGCGGCACGCGGCAGGCGCGAGCCGAGGGCGCATTGGATGGGCCAGTCGAGGTCCTCGACCAGGGTAGCTTCTTGCCCCTCACCGAGCTCGCGACAGGACCACGAGCCAGGCGGCGGAGAGCCCTGCGGGCACGTGCCATGGGAATCACCAGGGGGCGCTGCGCGTCAGTGAACTGCGCGCACTGAGGAGGGACATCTGGCGGGCCGGCGCTGTCGGGCAAGCTGGGGACGCCTAAATCGCGCAGCGGCTGGTCGTCGAAGCCATCGGAGACGATCAACTCGGATGCCGTCGTGTCGGGACTGAAATCGATCGCGGCGCGGGCTGCAGTCGGCGGAGTCGGCGACTGGCTCCTCCGAGATGGCGATGGTTGCTCCTGGGGGCGCAGTCTTTCTCACGTTCTCCCCCTCTCTCTCTCTCTCTCTCTCTCTCTCTCTCTCTCTCTCT